GGTTTATTAAATTATTCATTGGAGCTATTGATGACGATTTGTTCAAGGCCGAATAGCCGTATTTTCTCGGTCTAGGTTTTCACATCGATATCCACCCCCGGGTGAATTATTGGCTATAGACAAGTTTCTTTCCGACTCGCCGTCCCACGGATTTTCATCACGGAAAAATGATCCCTCCTCTCGGGGTGAAGGACCCGGCGATTTTATCGTCCTTTCTTCTTATCGGCGACCAATCGTCTGGAATAATTCATAAAATGGGAATATTATTATTTTTACGTGAGGGGATCGTTTGATTTTACCGGCTTTGTAGAAATCCGCTGTCCACTAATTTTTAGCTGCACCCTTGCCAAATACTATTTGACATTTTTTATAAAAAAAACATGGAATTTTTCACGGGAAATTCTAGATCACGGTGAGGAATTTTCTAGGAGAATTCTAGTACGGCAATGGAAAAAGAGGTGCAAAGTTAATTGTTGACTTGAATTTTTCTCATACTTATACGAAATTTTCAGAGAAATAGGAGAAAAATTGACGTACCAGCACTAGAATTTTTCCAACCGTCACGTCAAATTCCTTTTCCAGTCTTGCACTAGAATTAGCTAATGAAGAAGTAAAACAAGATCGCTCCATTTTCGCACGATCTTTAAACAGCCATTGATTGTTACAAATATTGATTTTCCGGCAAAATAAAAAAGACCTTTGTTATGGACAATTGTCCTGGACAATTACTCAACTGAAACCCCTAGACTCCGGATGAATCAATGAATATTGAACTTGTCGATAATTGAATTCGGTAATAAACATACTCCGTGGAAATGGCCGGAATTACCAAGATTAAATCGGAATATATTTCCATTGTTTTAAACGAAATGATTACGATCCGAGCGTACAATCAACACGAGAGTAACTTTCAAATCACTCGTGAATTTATTTTCAGTGTTCATTCGAAATACCATTCCCATCCCATTCGCCTCTCATTCCACAGGTCTATAACTCCTTCCTGTGAATAAACATCCCTTACACGCAAGTTTATTCTGATTGAAATTTCATCGGCTGCAGTAACAGTTGCATAAACAAACAAGTAACAAACAATGAAATCAACATGAATGAATAAACTTTAGTTGACAATTTTTTTCACATTTCTAATTCTCAAGATTTTTAAAATCTGATTATCGTATACTGTGATAAGGGACAAGAGTGCGTTTAAATTTATTGTCACCAGGAATAATCTCCCTGAGGATATAATTACTCGATGGAGACGAATGGGGGATGAAAAAAAAAGGTGAATAAATCTGGGAGAAATTGAGAGGGTGAAGTGGCTGGGATTGGAGAATTTATGGCATGTCGTTGGACTTGAGGGAGTTACAAATTAGAGAGGAAAGACCTCCCTAGTGCAAATTCTCCTCACTGTTGCATTTTCGTTGATGTGGCTTTATGCTTTTATAGATCCATGGAGTCTCACGTCGCAGACGTGGAGACGTGGGCAAATATTTATTTAGCCGGGAGAAAGCCTCTCTTCACTCATTTATCATAAAATACCTGAAATGAGTTTTGAAAAATCATAATTAGAGGATTTATGGGGTGGAGCCGATGCGAATGGCGAACAATTAAGTAATTGCGGCGAATAGCTATAATTTATACCAACGGTTGTTACACAACGTTTGATAGTGGAACCAGACGATGGAAGCAGACGAGCTGGAGATTTAGTATAGGAATAATGTGGCAATGGGATTCAAGGATATGAACGCCTTGTCTTCAACGGTAAGTCCTAGTTTTCATCGGAACTAGCTATCGATTGAGTGATCTACAACCTCTGCATTTCGATATTTCTCATCGGGTTTTACCCATATTTAGGTATTCAAGTGCATGAGATTGGCCAATTAGGAGAATGCACTTTTGTAACGCTGTCAATATGATTTTTATGGCCTGTCGATAACATCCCGGTGGGATTGGAGAGAAAATCTTGTGCATGGCAAGGGGATATCGATGAATGGCTGAAAAATGGGGACTAGTTCATTTCGAAATTGTGTGGTGAACAATTAACACAAAGTTGGGCTCGAGGCTTTCGAATTCTTCACTTCTTTTGATCGTGTTACTGTCAGCTCCTCGAAGATGGAGTGGGAAGTTGAGTGAATTGGTAATGAGGGATTTTTTAGAGGTCCATTTTTTTTTTTTTTTTTTTTTTTTGTTGTTGTTGCAAATCACTCACTTGAATTCTCAAAAGGTGACTCGAACGGGTTGAAGGATTTCGGAGAATCAATTTATCGCATTTGGAGTTGAACAGTGTTAACAATATAAATTATGTCCCCCAGAGAAAATTCCAGATTTTCCAGACATAAAGGAGTGCAGAATCTGTGATGTGGGTACTGAAAATAAAAATGAAAATATTTTGGCCAAAGTATGTTGAGCATAAAAAAACATTGGTAATTGTCGAATGGGAAAACGTCAAGATCGAGACGAAGGGCGAACTCTTGTCTGAGTTTTTACGACTTCTCATGGTTAGACGTCATCGGGGAAAACTTAATACAGCTGTCTTGTCCAACCCCCTTTCACTTTTAGTCTCTCCCTTTCTGTGAGATTCTCGAGGAAGGGAACCACTCGAGAATGCCAGTATTCCCCGGACAAATGTCGAGTCACTAAACTCAAACATGTCCCCGAGACAACTGGTGAATACTTTTACTTTCCTTCGAGTCCTCTTGTAATTTTTATTCCAACCCAACCTTTTTTCCCTCTCAGCTCTATTTTACTCATGTCAACATCTCGGTATTTTCACGTTTGCACGGGCATTCGTTACATCCACCAATTTATGAACGTTTCAATGAAACAACCCGAGTTTACGACCGCTGGCAGTGCTCGCTACATTCTGGTGTTTTTCAATTTTTCCAAATTTTCCCAGACTCGTAAAGTCACCACTTTTCTTATCCTTTTTTATTTTTTTTTTTTACTCTTTTTTGGAGGGCGTCAATTTTTTTTTCTTACAAATATTCATTAGCTTTAGAGAATAATGTTATTTTTCCACAACTGCATGCTGGACTCAAGATTCACATAGAGCTATTCGAAATTTAACGATCGCGCATAAAAAAATCCGAATTTTCTCATCTAAATGCGAAGGTGAACGAAAGGGCGATCTTCATGGGAAAATCGCAAATTCTCAAGGCTTGGAAATTTTGTGGCTGTCGTAAAACCTTCCACTTATTCCCTCATCAATCTTTATCTTATTCAAGTTGTGCTCCATTTTCAATTTGTAATAAAATAAAAATTAGTTGATACTGAAAATTCAAGGGGATAAATCAACCAAAATCGAAAACAAAATCGATAAACAATCGGGAGAATTTTCTCAAATAATTAAATGGCCAACTGCACTTATCCTAATTCACCACTTCTCAACAGAAATCAAACATGGAATCATGTGAACGTTTCAATCATGGGAATTCCCATGAAATCAGTAATCGTTGTGTCAATCATGAACCCTCGGATAAAAGTGTAGAAGCTTCTCTGTGGTATAATCATGCTCATCATGTGAATATTTTCGTGCACTGCATTACAGTACATCCCCGAGAAAAAAAAAGGGGGCAACAGGGGGAACAAAACAGGACCTACGCGTAATTGTATACGCCGAAGAGGGGACGAACGCTGAGGCGACTTAATTGGCTAATAAATCATGGAAATTGGCAATGGGGATAACAACTGCCAATAAGCATCGAATTTTTTCCAATGTACCCCGTCCGTTTTACAATCTCTCCACTTTTTGTCTGGAAGATTTTTGCGGTGAATATCGATTGGCAATTGTCTCAATACATTCGTCGATTATTCGCCAGGATATCCTCCAAGGACCGATGTAATCCCGAAATAATGCCCCGGATCACAGCGACTTTTCCCCAAATTTGATAATAATTTCGTATAATTCCGATAAATCTTTTATTGATGCTCCAGCAATGATCCCAATGAAGTCATTGGTCGTTGAGAAAAAATCAATATAAATACACGAAATTGGTTAGAAATGATCTATAATTTTCTGACGATTCAGGTGGAATAACGTAAATATGCGAATTTATGAGCAAAATGTGGAGTAATTGCTTTCAGCGTGATTTCATACGGAAGCTGTTGAGTGTGGGGGAAAAAAATTTACTGATGAGAAATGTTCCCGCTCGTTAAACCCCGGCTAGCGAATGCGGTTGCTCTTTTCATTTCCCCTTTCCTTCATTCTTTGTTTTTCTTTTTTTCATTTGCAATTTGGGAAATGACGGCTATGAATTTGCATTAATGCGGTCGTCGAATTATTACCGTCATTGAAGCCATATTATTTTTATGAATTCGTCACATGAAAATTTATTTCATTAATACAGAATGACATTTATCATGGATTATCGCTCCATTAGATAATTTCACTTGTTATTGGATCTGAAATTCTCGATTCTCGGAAGATTGGAAAATAATTTTCAGTTTTCAGAGGCAACTATGTCGTCCGAATCTCTTGGCTAGTTGGAAATAAGGAATATTTGGTAAGCCATCGAGTCCCAAATTTAAATTAGCTTCTTGTTCTTTTTTTACTCAAAGAAAATTATATGGCATTTGCAGTGGAACTCGCCAACTCGTAATTCATATCTATCATGAGAAATGAAAAACATTTATTCTCTAGACTCGGCGGAAAATCAGTGATTTCCTCATCTCGTTAAGAATATTCTAAGCGATAAAAACAATTTTCCACTGAAATTTAATCAGTGGAATCAATCATTCAATTACTCGGCCAAAATGAGATTCACATCAAGAAAATTCAGGAAAATTCACGATGAAATAACGGATTCCCGTGAGTTTTCCGGAAAATTCAAGTTGGTGATGAATATTCATTTTCACTTGAAAATTCATGTTTTTCACTTACTTCCGTCTTTCTTCAGCCAGAAAAAAAAAAAAAAAATCGGAATTTACCCGAATCTTCACAGCATTTGTCGGAAAAATTCGTAATAAAATTGAATTGTAATTTTAAAAAATGGGTTACTCACATTTTGGTAATATGATTGAGCCTATGACTATGAAAATTGGCAAAGGCCTGTTGAATGGCAGTTAGTCCAGCCCCCCGGCACAATAATTCCCTCCCGTCGGCAGTGATATTGCACGGCTCAATGAAATTCCACTCACTATCCCTCACTCGAGTGTCACCAATCACCCCAAAAAATCCAACAAAAACTGCTAAAACAATGGCAACAGTCTCACCACCAATAAACGTCCTGCACATGCTTTTCCAATCCACCACTGTTGATTATTCCCCGGTCACGTCTGATAACCGTCTAGATAGAGTAACTCGGTAATCACATTGCTGGGGAGTACCAATTGTCATTGAGCCTGGGCTCCAAGAGTGATGGTGATATAACATGGTGATCTGTCTACCCTATTCGCCAGATTCCCTCGGGCTCATCGGGTAAAGGACAAATGTGTTTATTTAGCCGGTGTAAGCCACGGGGGTTGGGCGTAGACCAGCTGATTACTTGCCCGATTGTCGATCCCTCGGGTTTATCACCCTCATCCCCTTCATTCTTCATTCCAACTCTTTCAATTCCACCTAAATCATCATCACCTTGTCCTCATCCTCAAAATACAACTCTATCCTCTCCAGTCTCCACAATTTCCTTTCCTTCCATCCCCTTTCATTTTCAGTAAATTCATTATAATTCTTCACTTTACGCTTCCTTTAATTTTTCAATCATCATTCACCGAGTCGCTATTAATTAATCAATTAATACTTTATACAAATTATTATGAAATAATGATGAGATGTCACGTTTTTAAATGGAATTGAAAGTTTTTGATGGGATAAAGGGATGGCGACGTGGTGTTGGGCTTTTAAAAATTCATTCCACATGGAATTGAAATATTTTTATTAGAGGTAAGGTGGGAAGACACCAGGTGATGATACTCAATGCTGTTGCACATTCGCCGGTGGTATCCGATGTACTGAAGTGTCTGTTACTTACCCACCTCTTCCACTCGCTATTTCCCCCCCTATTTTTCCACCGCGCAAATTTTCTCCTCTCGGCGTTAACTCAACAAGACCCATTGAGTCGCCCTCCCTCCGGCTGGCCCTCGTAATTTTTTTCTCTTTATTTTATTTATTTTTTTTTTTTATCCACTTTTTTATGCGGCATACGAGTGGAATAGAGGATGGTCCCCGGCCTCCGGGTGGTTTGCGGCACCGCCGGTCACTGTTCGCCTCGACAACTCCACCAAAACCACACGCTCTCGGGGATAGAATGGAGGGAGAGGATCTGGAGTGAAACGGGTGGTGGGTTTTTCAAGAATAAGAGGTAGTGAGGGAGCAACTCCATCCTCTCGTATTCCAGTGCTCTTGCTCTGTGTGTTGTGACGTCATCGATCGTAGACCTCTCACTCTTTTGGTTCACTCACTCACTCACTTTATTTGATCATTTTTTTTTTTTTCCACGGGGGAGACATTTTTGGTTTAAGTCAATGGATATCCGTCAATTTTTCATCAAACTCGAAATTTCTTATTTTTCTTAAGGCAATTATCTTGTGAAAAATTTATAATCGAGTCGCTGATAAAATAGAGGGAAGCCAAGCGAGATAATTGTCAGATGAATAATATCGTCGGAATGTGGTCTGAATGAAATTCGTCACAATTTTCTTTGACTTTTTTTTTTTTTTTTTTTCATGTAAAAGACTTTGAATGAGTTTATCCCAAAGATATTTTTGTTTACCTCTTGGGCTGTTGTTGCCAAGTTTAATGGGGTTTTATCGGTGAATGGGTTGGAAGAACTTTTAAAAATACATCCCCCTGTAATAAAGCTAAAAATATGAAAATTTCAAACTCATTCAACTTTTTAAATTCCCATTCGGATGAGAATATCTTTTTATGCAGTAATGAAAACTATTCTTATTTTTCATGAAAAATAATGTACACTCTCGACAACGAGTGGGTGAGACTGGTCGGTGGGCGGTGGGAGGGAGGTGGTATAAAAATGGGGGAAAGGATGAGCCATTAACGGTAGTAATATCGAGTGGAGCGTAAAAATAACGGGGTATAAAGTGAGAAGATGAAGGAGATCAAAAAGCATGGAGGGAGGAATGAAAGAAATATATACCAGACAAATGTGAATGAGCCAACGAAAATATCTCGCTGCGTTGCTGCAATATTCGAAATAATGCCTTTTCACTCTCATTTGCATCAGTTTTTCATCCTCCCCATCGAGCTATTATTATGATTTTTCATTCGCTGATACTTGGGGGAGTCAAGTGACAAATGGAAGTGCAACATTTTTTTATTCCTCTCAGTCAAGTTGAAAAGATAATAAAAGAGATTGTCAGAGTCTCTCACCTCGTTCCTTCCTGTTTGCAACTCCTCCCAGTGAAAATTAGTTTTTGTGTTTAGCAGTTTTATCTCTCGGTGAATTGAATTTTACTTTTTACTTTACCTTTACTCGGAATGGGAAATGACGGGGGAATAGTCGGACAATGCCAGCTGCGGGATTTTTCAACTCTCAATTTTCAATGCAATGCAAGTTGACAATGGAAAAAACAATGGATGAAAATCCATTGGCCTTATCTGAGATGCTCCTCCCTGATTTCCCTCCTTTCTTTTCCATTTTTATGGCATTTTATTTGTCCAGTTATTTTTCGCATTGGGCTTATCGTGTGATTTAATGAAAAATGAGGAGACGACGTGAGGGAATAATCGTACCGGTGAGCAATGACGTTATCAATGGATTTAGGACGCAAACAAAAAAAATTATTACGAAATTGTCGAGCTTTTATTTTATCGACTTACCCTTCGATCATGAAAGGATTAAATAGGTATCAGTGTGTACGTCTCTTTTAACTGGAGGGAGTGAGTTGGCGTGTCCCGGAAGAGAATTAAAGACAGTAAGTGGTGGAGGTATCATTCATCGTTTCGTCTCCCCTCTTTATTCCTCGTAAAAGAGGAAAGTTAAAGCTCCAGCCAGAGAGGGGAAGCTCAAGTACTTCGTGTAAAAAATAATGACCCGCATTGAATAGAAAATTGGAGGCTCCAGTTTCCTGCAATTGTAGTTATCACAGAGCTATGAGATTTTGGGAGAAATAAAATCAGCGGATCGGCCACGGGATGAGTATTACGTTGAGTCATACATAACTAGATCCTCCATTTCTGGGATTGAAAAATTAATTTACACGTGTATTATCTGTAAAATTTATTAATTTAATTGGTTTATAACAACACAATTGGCACGAGATCTTGATTAATCAATTTAAAATATCAGTGAGTGCTTTTACTTAATGTTAATTAAGTATCTGGTGGGATGAACACAGGGCACTTGAGATTCATCGAGTTTTAACTCAAATCAATAATTTAATTATTGACAATATTCTTGGAGCATTAGAAAGACCCGAAGTCGAGAGAATTGGCAGTACCAATCTCATTAGTGTGAGTCTGTTGAGTCAGCCAACTCTTTTATTAATTGTGTAATTATCTCGATTATTGATGAGTGATCTGAGGTGTTGACTTGTTCAGTTAAGGTGGGGAGAGTTTTGAGTCAGCTTTGAAAGTAGCGATTTATTGAAATGAGATTTATCATACACACAACACCCATTTATTAGTAATTAGCCAAAAAATTATTTTATTCTATGGGCAGAACGCCCACAAACACTTGAAAAATTGGAGAATAATTCATGACATTCACTTTTTTTTTTATGTAAAATAAAATGTGTAGAATGTGAATTATGATTTAATATCCTTTAATTCAACATGTAAACAATTAAGAAATACAAAAAAAAAAAAGTTCTCAACGAAAAAAAATCTTCACGACTTTGAAAACTAATCAGTCTCCCTTCAATGAATAAACGAGATAAATTGACAATTACATTGCACTCCTTTCCACATCGCTCAACGGTTTAATTACATAGATTGTTATTCACCGCGCGTTATTCATCGACGTATTTATTTTACACAAAGTAAGCAGCTAATTGCGCCATCTTGTCCTTGGGTCGTGGCTTTCCACGACTGCGACCCTTGGCATGACCTCGTCCTCTGGTCATCACTGGCTTGGATGCCACTGCTCTGTGCTTCTCAACAAGTGGACCAAACTCAGGTGTACAAAATACACAGCCAGTCATCTCAGTTGCCTCATTCGGCAATTTACTCTTGTCCTCCTTGTACTGGACTGTGATAAGTTGTGCACCGCAGTCGCAAACGTCAGTGTCAACAGTCACTTTGTGGGAATTCTCGAAGAAGTGAATGATAACGTCACATCTGTTACATCCTAGTTTCCATTTTGGTGCTGCTGACGGATCCAGCACCAGAATTCCAGCTTCACACTCGGGACAACTCGAAACACCATTTGAATTTAAACCGTGGGCACATGTTGGATGGGTGCACGAGTTACACCCAGTGTTTCCTTTCTTCATGTCCCTGGAATATTAAGTTTTCTCTTGTTTATCACCACCGAATTTTCCCAATTCCCCTTTTAAAAAGTACACTTAAACACAATGCGTTTACATTAAAATTTTACTGACATTAAATGAAATATGAAATTAATTAATAAACACTCGACTCGAATAAATCAAAAAGTTCATTAGCTATCTCAATGCCTCCAAACTGTCGTCTATTAATGGCCAAGGGATTGTCTTTCACAGCCAAGCGCAAATCCTCCCCTTGTGCGATATATTTGTGGCGAGGGAAAATATACGAGAAATAGCGTGATGAAAATTTTAATTAAGGAGAGTAATAAACTCACCTGAATGGAGGATTATTATAGCAATACGGACAGAAGGTGAAACTCTTTCCTCTGGTGCCTGTCGACCATGACAACAGTTCAAAATCGTCAAGTGGACATTTAAGCTCCTTGTAAATCCTGATATTACCATTTTGCGGTAAATTGTAAGTCTCATTACAATGGGCGCAATGAGATCTCGATGGTTTTGTCTGAATGTATTTCATGTAACGACGACACTTGCCACATCGGGAGAGAGCTTTGCCCGAGGCAGAGAGAGGGGAAAATGATACCTCGAAGAGTTGATCCATACCATCGATACTCTGAACAAAGTAGTGGAATTTTTGTTTGAATACTTCGAGTGTGTGCTGAAGAACAGCGTGAAAATCAGCTCGACCTAGGGCTATCAGATTCAGCTGTTCCTCCACGGCTGAACGCATAGTGGGGAGCACCAGGTCTGGATCAATCTGGAATTAAAGGGGCGTCGTTAGGGGTTATTGTGAGGAGTTGGGGGGATAATGGAGTAATAGGAGAGTCGAGGGAACGAGTGATTCGATAGGCAGTTTTACGGCTCAACTCAATCAATATTTTGAGAGAAAGTCCTGGGGCTCTAATCTTCAGAGTTAATGGACCAGCGGAGATTGTCTTCGCTGGTGCTTCATCGTTAATGTCTTTTTCCATTGTTAAAGGAAAGTTTTATTATTTTCATCTGAAGGTATAACTTTCTTAACTCGCGTCCGAGAGATTCGGGGGAGGAAGTCCATAGTACAGATTTGAACGTAAATATTCACTTGAATACTTTTGTCGAACAGTTAAAATTCACCAGTTTTTCTCAATATCGATTAATTAAAAAAATATAAAAAATAAAAAAAAAAATTAAAAAAAATATCGGCTTTAGGGAGAAGTACCAAAGAACCTTTTTTGATAATTTAATGATTTACAAAAACATTCATTAACGTTTCTAACTACCACTTGGTTCCTAAAATGAAAACAAATAGCTTTCAAAATTACCTTCTGATACCCATGCACCAGGACAATCCCCAGGGAAGTGGGTGTGAGCTTTCTCCCGGGCACAACAGTCACATAATTTCTGATGCAGATGTTATTAATATGTACTGGAATAGAGGCATCTGTGCCAATGCCATGTTTCTCCATGAGTGTAATAAGCTCGGACTCAGTTAAGTAATCCGGTGGTTGTGTGTAGCAATCGAGGAGCTTAGCGTCCTGAATATTGACCCTCTCTCCGATGGTAAACCTAGGCAGACCCTCATTAGCGCCGAGTGCCTGCCAGGTGAGAAGACTCGTGTACCCAGGATCAATGAGACTAGTTCCAGTCAGAGAAAAACTCTCGATTCCAATCTCAAATTTAACGGTTGTACTGAGATACTTGCAGTCTTTGGCAAGAGTGGCAATGAAATGTCTGGTGATATAGTCGTAAATCCTCCAGGCGTCGCCGTCTAGTTCATTCCTCGAGACAGATTTCATGGGTGTGATGGGCGGATGATCCCCAGCATCGTGGCCCTTTTTTGGTCTGTTTATTCCACTTGCCAGAATTTTTTTCACTTCATCTCCCCATTCTGAACTGTTCTGTTGCTGCCTGAGAGTAGCCAGAAGGTCAAAATTCTCTGGATAGGAGGTGGTCTCGGTCCTGGGATAGCTGATGTATCCCTGGGTGTACAGACGTTCTGCAATTTGCATGGCGTGATGAGGACCCATCCCCAGGCCCGAACTCGAGACTCTCATTAACTCCACAGTGTTGAGAGCGATTGGTCGGCCTTTGGTCTTCTCCGAGCTCTGGATATTGACGATTGTCGCCTGCTCGTGCTCTTTTACATGAGACAGAAAGATATTCGCTATTTCCTTGTCAAAGGATCGACCTCTCGACCAGCTCAGGATCAGGTCCTGGCCCTCGGTCGTTCTTATTGTCACCTGGAGGAGCCAATAAGGATCGGGCTTGAAGGTTTGAATCTCGTCATGCCTCTGAACACAGAAACCTAGGGTTGGGGTCTGACAGGGACCGTAGGATATCAGGGAGGCGTCCAGGTCGCCGTATTTTCCCTGGAAGAATTTTGTCTGGAATCTCGTGAAGGCACAGCCAATGCGCAGGTCCAACTCCTGTCGTGCATCGACACTCCTAGCCTCGTTCTCATTTGGTCGAGCGAGATTTTGCAGGGCTGCTTTTATGTCTCGCTCTGTGATCGCTGAGAATTTTGCTCGCCAGATATTGCTGGCATTCAGACGGGAACTTCTCACCTGCTGGACGGCCTGAATTACCTCGAAACAAATATTCTCACCCTCTTTGTCGCAATCCAACCAGAGGATGAGGTAGTCACAGTGCGAGCCCTCTTTACCCAGGAATGAGGGGATTCGCAGCTTTGGCACGGCTTCTTTCTTCTCGGTTTGACAAGTGAATAGCTCTGCTGGATCCACTTTATCCCAGTTGTTGTATTTGCTGATGAAGTCCAGACTCATTACGTGACCACAGACTGAGGTCATTTTGAAACTCACTGTTTCAGATCGCAACTGACCGATCCATTCGTGCACTGAGCATGAACCGTTCATTCCTAAAAATATTATTACTCCAGTATTTTTTTTTTTTTTTTTGATACTTTCGAAAATTAATTTCTCCAGTTCAGAGGGGGGAAATGTGAAGGTTGTTGTAAAATCAAATAATGCATATTTCTACGAAAACGAGAAGACGATTTAAATCTCGGTAATGATATGAAAGGACTTGTATAAATTTCACTCAATCTTTAATGGATTTCTTCGAAAGAGAAGGATATAAGTACTAGCAAAGAAAATTCTGATGCCCAGAAAAGTAATTTCATCAGTTGTTGACTATTCAATTTTCCTCGTACTGTCGTGAATTACAAGAAATTTGAATTTTTTGACGTTCTGGAAGATTGGACTTTCTAACCTACCTTTCCTACAGGTGGACTTTCCATTGCTAAGAATATTAGCAAGAGAAGCCGCGAGTGACGGCTTCTCAGCAACCATCAACGCAGTCTTCATAATTCACCGATTTGCCTCGAAATTACCAAAATTAATAAACGAGTGAAGATCGATAATAATGAGATTTTTACGAATCCCCTGCAGTTGACATATTCATGGCAGCCGCCATGAGCAAACACCTGCTCCGAATTATATATCGTAATATATCGAACAGAGAGAATTGACTAAAGTAGAGGCTCAGTTCTAGAGGTTTGAGTGACCCCTCCGGCAACATAGTACTGCACCCCAATAGAGGGAGGGCACCACACGCATTGTTATTTTGGATGTTATTTTCTGCGTTAAGAAATTGGTATTCACTGAAATTTAAAAATTTTATGGAGTCACTTAAATTTCAACAATTTAAATTTTAAAAGGTGAAAGGATCTGAGTTACGGAGCGACCGGCGATTCATAATGAGGGTGAGTTAGCTCTCGGGGCGTGATTGTCAATTTTTTCATTTTTTGACCAAATGGCACTTGGAAAATTTCCAAAAAAAATTCACCATTCACGCAATAATGAAAATTCCAGGAA